TTGTAAAAGAAATTTTCATTGCACATACAATTAAAAAAGTCCAACATCAAGAAAATGTTTCATACAGTAGATCAACTCTTCTTTGAGTGCCACAGTTACATGTATCTACATTATCAATATATCACATTGTACAATTATAGTGGTACAAGTACTATATAATCACTTTTGTTAATTCTTAGTTTTCAAAAAGTGATTCTAATGTCATTGCAACCTGGGACAGTTGAAAAATGAATGAATGAATACATCTTTCTTTACGTGTCTTTAAGGTTCAAATGAACATGATCAACAAATACGGAACAAAAATATAGAAATATTACTAATATATAGATGATAATACAATATGAAGATGGAGTTTTATAAAAATTCTGAGTAACTGGCGCCTACTATACCTCCTGTTGCTGTAGGTGTTTGAGATGCTCCAGTACCTCAGCGATGAGGGTGTTTGCGATTTGCTGAACCTCGTTCAGAAACTTTGGGTCACTGCCGTACAGCCTGTCATTGGAGTCAACTGGGAAAATAAAGGCAGTGCAAAAATAAGTGATACCGGTACTGTCTTCCCAACTCCTTGTATCATGTGTTAACCTTGTACTTTAAAAATTATAATGCAAAACATACACAGGAAACTTTGCCTTTTTTTTAAATATATAATATGGTACGGTGAGCAATACCCACTTTAAAATTGTACATAAGGAACAGTTTCATGGGCAATCAATGGCTCACAGCTGCCAAGTGTTCTCATTTAAAATGAAGGAGAAGTCGGTGGACTCTACAATCCTTCTCACCATGAGATTCAAACTACAATAATACAACATGTGCAACATGATACTGAAAGTAAAGACTGACCTTTGTTGACATGGTACAGGTAATTCTCCTAGATGTAAAAAAGAGATGACATGGGTGAGGCAAAGTTTAAGAATACTACCAAAAATTTCACAACTCCTCATGTGTAATGTTCACATACTGAAGTAACTTTTATCAAAATAAATGATTTTTCTTTTCTATCCTAAACACTAAAGTCATCTCTTTCTGGTAGGTCAGAAAGAGATTTGAGAAACTAGGACCAAAGAGCACAGTACATATCTAATGGACAGGTGTATACGCTTACCTGGCTCATGGCTGAGAGCAGACACGTCACACTCAGGTAGGACCTGACTTTAGCATCACTGTTGTCCTCCCAGGTGTAGTTCTGCAGCACGTTTAGCAGCCCTCGGATCAGGTACAGAACACCCTGGTCTGGGTTATCCTGGAGGAGACACCAATTATCACTGACAAATAACATTTGAAAGAAAGCAGTTCATCCATTGTAACATCAAGGTCATTATACAGGCCCTAATACTTCTGTATAATGTCCTTGGTAACATTTAATGAGTGAGTCAATAATAGGCTCGCATAGAACTGTGCAGCCATAACCAAAGCTGTAGGGCTGTTAACAATTAGGATTTTACCATGGTCAATAATGACGAAGGAGGCCATATGAACTAGGCTACAAAAGCACTACTAGTATACCAACTATTACATGTATCTATTCCAATAATAAGCTTATCAATTTACCCTATCCAGGCAATCTATGAGATAAAATATACAGGCACAAGAAATTACAAGATGTGCAGATGTTGGTAACTAGAATTGTCTGAAATGTTGGCCATCTCACCGGCACGACCAGCAGGTTGGAGACAAAGTTGTTGATGTACTCTGCCAGGAGAGGTTCTGTGGACCGAACCTTCCCATCCACCTGGATGGTCCTCGGGACCTCAGGCAGCAGGCCGATGGCAGCCTTAAAGAAGGCATCGCCTAAGGACCAAAATAGGAGGAAAATACATGTAATGCATGTGTGTGTGTTTGCATCAGAAAAGTCAGTTGAAGAAGGCAACCATTTAATGGTATGAAGAGTGGTAAATAATTTCCTTCACAATGTATCTAAGACAATTGAAAATATTCCAGATTTTGGTAGTTTATCTGATCTGTATTGCAAACTGTATTATTGTTTTCATGTTCCCTATTTACCATCGCAACCCTTCAGCCATAATTACCCACTTTGTAGCCATGGCTGCCATGGCAACCCCGCAGCTACACCCGTTCACCATGATAACATGGCTGCCATGGCAACCCTACAGCCACGCCTACCTTGTGTGAGAACCCAGCTCACCATGGCAACATGACTGCCATGGCAACCCCATAGCCACACCCACCTTGTGTGAGAGCCCAGCTCACCATGGCAACCCGGCTGCCATGGCAACCCCACAGCCACACCCACCTTGTGTGAGCGCTCCGTTGACCATGGCCACCTGACCTGACACCAGGTACAGGTTGAGTCTGGAGAAGATGTTGTTGATGGATGGAATGGTGATGAAACTGTAGGCTGCACAGGCCTGGAAAACAGTACAATAAGCAAATATCTGATGATAAACTATATTGACAGGATCAGTTTGAGCACATTGTAATATTATCATAGCTACTGTAATGTATGATAAAACCATAACATTTGTAAATAAAAGCCACAATCTTATCAAACATATCTACAGCAGGAAGCAAGTTTTGAATAGAAATCACTCCTTTTTTTTTCTTCTACCCTATAGCTACGTACATGCATTGCTTACATATTAAGCACACACAGCTGTTACTACTACTTCTATTACAGACGTGGACTTTTAAATGTTAACTTATCAACTCTCAAGAGTCTCTAATTGCCTACAAGGCTGCCTTGTGTAGAGGAAAGGCTGTTTCCCCCCAGCACAACTTCTGTTGAGAGTCAATAGCAGCTGCAACGTGCTGTGAAGAAGTAGCATGTAATTGGATGCGAATCTCAGCTTTTTCAACTGCCTAGTCCATTGAAATGGAATAAAAATGTTTCTTTGTTCATCAAGGAATTAGACCCAAAGGCTTACCCCAAAGGATTTGTTCCAATGTTCAAAAGGATCCTTCTATTACAAAAGAAGGGCAAGACCTTTACACAGATAATGACTGTTTGCTTTGAGATCCTTCCAGCCTTTGGCTAAATGGCATTTTTTGCTGAAGCTTGCAAAATTTGTCCATGTTTTGGAACAGCTGTTTCACTGCATATTGGTTGGACATGATCTAGTAACATGGAACATGTGCTATATCAATTGTGATGAAAAAACGAATGCTTACAATATAATAAGAGATTAAAAAGGTAACATTTGCAAAGCAAATGCATAATGTTTACCTTTGCATAAGGTGCGCTGTTAATTCTTACTCAAATACATTGAATTTCATATATATGGTCAGACAGGAGTATAAATCCCTCCTACTATAAAACTGCAACATGATATACCCCAACACCAGTTACCATGGTGATGATGAGAGACATCAACAAGTCAGGTCATTGACCAGGTCAGAGGTCAGTGTTTGGAAGGGAAGAAGAAGAGGAAACGTAACAAAAACAATATTTTCCTTTGGTAAACATAAAAGGACTGTGTTAACATTTCTTCCATTTTCTAACTTTCTCATCTTTCTCATATTTCAGAATGTCCTGACAGTCCGCTTTAATCTTCGGTTTACTATACATTGTAAGATAGTGTATAGATAGGGTATAGAGCAGACATATGTGAATTCATCACAATTTTAGAGGTTATCACTTATATGTATAGAGACATGCCTCCAGAAGTAAAGTGCTTTACACTCAATCAGGTAATGCTTTAACAAGGAATAAGAATTCACAGAAATACCAAATGCTTGACCCAGGATCGCAAAATACCTGCCCTCTGACACTAGTAGAATTTCTGCTATTCTTCTAAATCTGTTTCTCTTATCACTTGCATTCAGTTGCTCTACTCTTTCATGGAGAAAACATGCAACTCCTGTATATATGTTCACTCACTGCATTGCTGACATACAAGCCAAATACAGTTTGCCGACTGAATGCAGAATACAGACAGATGTTCCAGTTTTCCAATTGAAAGTTCAGAGTGCATACACCGTGGTAACAACACAATGATACCAAGGACATTATACAGAAGAAAATCCCTACCAGAACAGATCTCATACTAGTTCAGGTGACAATTACACTTGTAATTGGACCACAGGGAGAGCTATCAAAAATAATTGACGTTTTGAATCTTGATTCAATGCTTTCCCCTGGCGTAACAGACCTTGATGTCACTATGATGACTACATGTAAGTAACTGAGCAGGATGTGGGAATAACATCCCAGCAGGGCAGAAAGCCAGGAGTCAATTCTGATGTTTCTACTGTCTAAATCTCCTGTGATAACACCACAAATTAGACATCAGGATAATAAGACATCATTACTGTTGGCAGCATTGTGGCTAGCTACAGTGTATATCCTGAGGGGAAAAGGGCTGTTTGGGGCATAAGAAGTCTACCTTTCAAGATGATAAAATTACTGAGTGTGCGTTCATGATCTAATGCTGTACACAGCTCTGATGTTGTCAACTTGATTTGTACAAAACTGCATGCCGGCCGACTTTGATCACCAGTTCACGAGTCTATTGTGTAAAATATGCTGATTGTGTCGAATGGATTAATGGTCTTTTTTCAATGATCACGATTCAGAAATTTGTGCATTGGAAATGATTTGAAAAAGTTAATATCCTTTTTTTTTATTTTGCCACTTTCAAATTGATCCTTTAATTACAAGATTCTGTTTGAAGAAATAGCACAGGCAATCTTCAGCTAATAGAATCTACAATCTCTAACTGCATGAGTTTCTATGTACAGACATGTACTGGGGGATTAACCCTTGCAGTTCTAACCTCTACTGTACGTAATCAATCTGCATTTGGGTTCATACAAAATGTAGATGGACCCCTGGCAGGAAGAAGGTTAAATGGTGAACAGGAAAGCATCAGTAAATGTTTTCACAGCATTCCTATGCTGACATCAACAGTTTTTCTCAGAAGCATCCTAGTGAAACCACACTACATTGTAAGTCTTCTAACAGGTGGCTCCTCTCCAAGCTATAAGCTAGAGGTAAACATTTTGAATCCGTCACACAACAATTTGCTGACAAAGCACAGTAAGGCTGTACTGGACTATTTTCAATTCAAAACACCCGGTCTAGGTTTGGGTGCAGGCAGGGCTTGCTTTTCTTTGGCGATCGGTCTGGAACATTTTACAGGTATGTCTTCAGCTATGTCTATATTGTAAATCTATATGTCTATGTCTATATTGTAGATCAATATATATTGCAGTATATTTGTCTAGGATTTCACTGTATGGAGTGTTGTGGGGTTTTTTTTTGTCACTCTGGAACTACAATTGGGACTCAGTGCATAAGTTTGATCAAGGAGGTTCTTTTGAACCTCCTTGGTTTGATAGGCTAGTTGAGCAGATCTACATGTAGAGGGCTATATTGCAAGTCCTCAATCTACTTGAATCTGCCAGCAAGGGTTTGGACTCCAAAACAAGCTAAAATCAGTTTAAATTCATCCAATACAGTTACTGTGGAATGTATGATATACGTTTGTTGAAAGATTGTAGAAAGGGGTCAGTTATATTTGTCAGACAGGGGGATTTGTACGCAGACTCTGCCATGTAATAATTACAGCATAGCTAACCACTAGCAACTTATCAATTATCAGTGTATTAAAGGTGAATATCTTGCACTTCATAGTGACAATGAAGATCTCTGTTCTGCTTCTACTGCTGAGTGCCACCTGCCGGGCTGAGCCTGAACTGCAGGCAGCCCACACATCCCAGCAGAGCCCAGCAGGCTGCATGAACAACATCACCATCATGTCACCTCCAGGGGTGCAGGGGCCACCTGGGCCTCCAGGTATGAGAGAAATACCATAACTGTACAGTACAGGAACATGTACATGTATGTACAGATGGCATGGACTTTCTGTGTTTTGTCTGTGAAATTGCTGGGAAACATAGTACACACATTGTACTCTTTGGAGCTTGCAAAGAGAACTATGTCTATATACCGGTATTGGTTGTCACGCTTCCCACAGGAAATTTTGACCCTATATTGCCAGCATTTTGATGGTCAAATTTTGTCGGTAGACTAAGCTTAGTTGAACAACATCTCCATCTCTTCACATGCTGATTTTTGTCTGTCAAAGATGATGGATTGGGCAAAAGTTTTGTCTGTCATGAGCAACAAAATTCCATCAAATGATTGAAAGACAGATGCCGGCTAGAAGACTGTATACTACCAGTGTTAACACATGGACAGTTGAATCAACCCTTGCAATACCGTCACTATCCTATAGGACCCTTGGGTGAGCCAGGACGACCAGGTAACCCAGGCCCGCCAGGCAAGCTTGGCCCGCAAGGTCCTCCCGGGACGCCCGGCTCCTCCGCAAACCCTCCCGTTCACGTAGCGTTCACCGCCGTCCGAATTGCCAGCCTCGGCCCAGCCGATGAGGTCCTCACCATTACCTTCCAGGTAGTCCACACAAATGTTGGTGACCACTTTGACAAAAACACGGGGCATTTCACCTCCCCAGTGAGGGGTGTTTACCACTTCAGCTTTAACTTCCTAGCCATGTCGTCTGACTACAACCTGTTTGTTATCCTCAAGCATAATGGTCGTAAGATAACGTCTACATATGAAAGTGGGGGGAGGAGTGCGGGAGGGAGTGCTGTGCTACTGTTAGAAGAGGGGGACAAGGTTTGGCTGGACCTGGGGAAGAAATACGCCATCTACGACAATGCCAACATGTACAGCTCTTTCTCTGGCTTCCTCCTCTTCACTTTGGAGGATGATGTTGAAGAAAAGGAATCATAAGGACCACGAGCAAGGAGGACTTAGTGAAAGTGGAAAATCTAATGAAGAAAAAAATTTCTTGAGACAATCATACCGGAAAAATACAAGTTGGCAAAAAATGATCACAAATATAAGGGAAAGAATACTTGAGCAAATTGTATGATTTTAAAGATGAGGTAGTGCAACGAGTAGATCGGCTTAGACTTAAAACTGAGCTCTTATGATGTAACACATATGTAACGTTACTATGTTTGAAAGTTGGAAGATGACATGTACAATATTGCTGGGTATTGGTGAGCTGATGTTCCTAGTAATAAGAATTTTTTACATTAAGAAGTATGTATGCAGAAGACTTTGATTCCAGCCCCACAATCAATTAGAAATAGGGATTATACTCAGACTAACACTAATGAACTCACCCGAACAAATGCAGCAGTTTTCCTGGAGTGGTTGCCCTTCACCACCTTGTGTGTCTCCATGGAAAGTTGGTTCACTCGCTGGAACACCAAAGATATATACATGTAACTTTGACAACTGATAAAACATACAAGCACACAGAAACACATACATACATACATACATACAACACACACACACAGTACATATCAGTGCAAAAATGTAAAGGAAAAGAAAACAGTATAGCATATTCAAACCACCCACCTGTACCAGCTCAATCAACACTGGCTCAAGGTTACTGAAGGTCGCTCTGGCTTCCACGTAGAAACTCAGCTGCTGCTCAAAGTCTCTCCCAAAGGAAATCTGATTAAAAACAGACCAATCAGGAGTAAGGAACAGTTAGGCCTTGTTCCAGGAAAAACAACAGTGGGAAAATGACTGACAGTTGAGCACTAGGAATTTCCACCTACCCTTCTGATAAAACCACAGATAAGATTGGAGATGGCTTTCTTCTCATCCTCTAGTGTAAGTGCACTGTAGAGCATAGAGACACAAGTCAATCTACATGTATGTAAAGGAGAAAAATGGAGCACAAATCATTTGATTCTTAACATTTAAAGGACAACCTCATTCCTTGACTTCCACACTCCAATGAAAAATAGAGACCATCAAGAATTATTTGGTGACACAAATGATACAGTCTCAAGATTTTCATTAATTGCATTTGACATTGCAGTTATTTCTGATATGTACTTACTTGACAGAGTCATGCATGGTCTTACAGATGAACATCAGGGCGTTCATGATGACAGGGTCAGACGTTGTTTCTTGCTGAACCCTGTACAGTAGAAATGATTGGTAAGTCAGTGTACACATCTAGTTATTCCAATTGTGCAGTATTTTTAAAAATTCTGTGTTAACATTTGAGTCAGTATCTGAGCCACAATACCCTATCCAATCTATGTGCAGTATATATATACTATGTGCAGTATATATGTTCTAATTTCATCACAATTGACAAGGTTTTTCTGAGCACAAAACAGACAACTACAGAACTACCTTTCTCCTGGGAGTTTCCTATGAACAGCCCTAAAAAAGGAAGTCTTCAAATTGGATAACAACCCTCATTTAATACTTGTTCATCTTTCACCATACACCATTTCAAACCACATAAAAAGTCTACATTCAATACAAATATATAGAATTATATGTTTTGTTAACATTAGGCACAAGACTGAGAGCACTAAGGCATAAACCTAAGTCCTCAGGCTTTGTTTTCATCATCTTTTTGTGGTTAACCCTATTTTCTAAATCCAAAAACAACCAAATTAAATTAGTGTGACTTAAAGCAGCATCTAATTCTTCTAGTGTAACAGTTAGGAAAACAAGCAATACAGCACAGTGCAATCCACAAACAGAGCACAGTTAGTAACCACAAACACCCCTATAACTACTTCTTGCCTTTTCTTGTAACCGGCAGTATACAGGGCACCTGGTCTAGCACCACTGGGGGGGGAGGAACGTAATCACAGGTGCAATCAGGAAATCAACGATCAAATCAAAATCACTGTGATTAATCATAGCAGAAATCAAGCAGAATCATTAACAAAATCAACATTTACAACAATCTCTATCATCAAAGAGAATCAGTGACTCATGTAATAAAAATTGTTCTGTGATGATAATCTTTATGCTTGAAAAATATGTGTTGAAGAATGTATTTGTCATATTTATTATCATTTCAACTACTAAGATATCAGACTAATAATTACCATAACATAATACAATAGTTAAAATCAGCATGATAAGCATTAAGCAACATGATAGCTGTCTGATTTTTTAATAATTGTCTGGGGACCCCCTTCTTACAACTATATATAGTATACATACATGTAGAACATTGTCATGCATGTTAGAACACACTCTTTACCTTGTGAATGTTTCCATGACAGTTTTGCACACTTCCACCTTGACTGACTCTTTTTGGAACATGTCGATGAAAGGCAGGAATTTATCCTGAAATAAAAGCAAAACATACACAATGTCTAATGTAGTTTAATTCTACATAATCACTGGTATACATGCTGTATATTAACTGATGTATTATATGTACCAGTAGTAATAAGAACCATATTATGTAATATTAGTGGCAATCTTAACATTACATTATGATTAAACATAATTACACGTAAAACGTAAGCATTATGTATCATCACAAGTGATTATCTTCACCATCTTATGTGATACCATATCATTCACAACATCCCTTTTATGATTATTGTGATAACCCTTTTGATTATCATGATTTAGCACCACTGTTACAAGCATCAAGATAATTGAATTTGTATTTTGTGTCTCATGGTGTTTAAAAAATTATAGCAAAATGATTGTGTTGTGGTCTAGTCTTGAAGTGTGGTACAACAAGAATCCTGTACAACAAGAATCTAAAAATCTATGGGGGTTGTACAAAGATTTAACCTTACCATGGAAAACAGCACAGCAAAGTCATGCATGTGTGACAGCACCTTGGTAACTATGGACTGCAACTGTCAAAGGAAGCATAAAATACTTGTATGTCCATATTCTTTTAAAATAACACAATTTGAACTAGAAAAGTAACATTTGCAAAGCAAATGCATAATGTTTACCTTTGCATATATATATATATTTTCTGCTCTGGTAATTCTTACTCAAACACATTCACATATATGGTGGCAGGAGTCTAAATCCCTCCTACCATAAAATTGCAACATTTTGTAACCCAACACCAGTTACCATGGTGAGAGACAGTCTGGTTCAGTCAGGTCGGAGGTCACTGTTTGGAGAAGAAGAAGAGGAAACATCGCAAAAACAATACGCTTTCATTCAGAAAACATTATGTACATGGAACAGGAATACCTGCGGGTAGAAATCCTCAAAGGCTCTGTCTGGAACCATGTGCTTGATGATGTCACCAAGGATCGTGTTCACTTCACGTTTCTGATGATGTAGTACACAGGGAAGAGACACCATATCAGAGCACATTCGTTAAAATTTGGATATAAACACATACTAAAGTTGACTAAGGACAACATACAAAATTCCTGCCTATTTGAGGAAAACCTACCGTGAAATGTTTGCAGGGATATTCAATCCAAACTTCAGCACAGGCAATGTAGTTCTGTAAAAAAAAAGGAATGATAGAAATGATAATACTTTCATTGCATTGAAAGCATATAATGCATTTCATTTAGATCTTGCAACTTACTGGTACATGTACTACTTGTCAGTGTTCTAGCTACTGTGTTTCAGCTACTTCTGTTGGCTAAATGTTTCATGAGCTGACTATCATTAGTTCAAAATCTTGAGCATTTGCTGGGGACTAGTCTCTTTGCAGAGCAAAGTTTGGCTGAAGCCTACAGAAGGTGAATTGAATATATCAAAGGTAAAACTTACTGCAGGATTCTTCAGTTTCATCACCACCTTCCACACCTGTGTGTCAGACATAAAAAACACATTAATTTCTAGAAGACAGCTGCAACAGTTCGAATGCCTTGATCTGGATGTTTTTCTTCCTTTCTTCAAACACAACTTCTTCATCACACATATAGTTGAGCCAGAAACAGCCCTTACCTCGTTCAGTGTCTGTAGCCTCTGTTCTTCTGGAGGGTCGGCCAGCACCATGTTAGCACCCAGGGAGGAGTACAGCTCATGCTGTGCAGGAATAGTCAGGTCAAGGTCATTAGGGAGTAGATAAATACACAGTAGTGTTGGTGATTGTGAATTCAGTACCAAGGACAGCTATGTTTGTGTGAGTGTGAATTCAGCACCAAGGACAGAAGTGTCAGTGTGAGTGTGAATTCAGCACCAAGGACAGCAGTGTTAGTGTGGATGTGAATTCAGCACCAAGGACAGCAGTGTCAGTGTGAATGTGAATTCAGCACCAAGGACAGCTATGCCTGTGTGGTTGTGAATTCAGAACCGAGGACAGCAGCATCTGTGTGATTGTGAATTCAGCACCAAGGACAGCAGTATCAGTGTGATTGTGATTTCAGCACCAAGGACAGCTGTGTATACATGTATGTGAGTATGAATTCAGCAACAAGGACAGCAGTGCTAGTGTGTATTCAGTATCAAAGTGAGATGTATGTGTGTAAATGTGAATTGAGGAATGAAATGGAAGAGTAGAAATTTTCAAATACTGAATCACAAAAACATGTGCATAATGTGATGATGTAGCAAGTCAATGTAAAATATGAGAAACCTAGACCAAACATTTTGACATTAAATGTATCATTATTTAGTTTCACATTTGCAGACTGTGTTCCTGCAAATTAAAAAACACAATAACTGTCTGACCTTGGGAAAGCCAGCCTCCTCACAGTCCCTGATGGTGTCCACAAACTTCAAGGCTCGGCTGGCGATGTAGTCAGGCTTAAAGGCCGACATGACGGAGTTCAACAGCAAGGCACTGTGGGAAGGCAAATATCTGGATGTAAACCTTTCAATTTGACAGCTCTTGCTTTCTTGGAATGCATTTTCTATGCTAGCAAAGGTTGATTGTTAGCAAAAATATTGTAGAATGCACCTACCTGTTACATTTCTTCTTGCAATGTTCCAGTACTTCTGTCATAGTGTCCTAAACAATACAACAATGTGTGACTTGGTCATTACTGTGAACTTTATTACATGAACAGTTATAGACAATAGAGTTATCAACCCACTTAGACCCAATGATGTATTGTTACAGTAGTAACGTTACATGTACATAGTATATGGATAGCCAAGGACACTGAATTTACCTAATTCTATATAGTCTATTTCTGACTATTCATCTGACTCATAATTATGTAACAGTGTATACATATACATGATGTAACCTCTGACCTCTGATGCCCGATGAGCCACACACTGTAGTATCCAGTCCAGTGCAGGTGTGTACAGGTGCAGGTACTGGGCCATTTCCAGCTGTTGTACAGCCAAGATGTTCTGTACACTGTCACCCTGCAGCTGTGAGACATACAACAAGTGTTACAGC